CACTTTGTTAGGTCCACCACCTGTTGCGCTTGCTTCTGCCTTCGGTCGCGCTTAGGGATTATAACTCTAACTAAGTAGAATTCTCCTTTCTGTGTTGCCGGAGAAGGGGGGGTTCCGCATTACAAAGGTATACAACATTTCTTGTGAATGTCACTCCGGCTACGCCATCCATTTTGCCATTCATATTTTTGCGCAGAACCCACATCGAAATTTGCATAAAAGTACATAGTGCAAACCGAATTTATTAATAAGCTAGTGGTCAGAAATTGGAAACATTTATTTTAAATAAAAGTTTAATCCCTTGATTACAAGTGTATGTTAAAGTTTTTGGATTCGGGGTATGCGATAAGGGGCAACAAAGATTCTTTTTTGTTCGTTTATATAAAGCAGTGGATAAATATTTACGTATATGCGAAAGGCAAATTTATCTGTTTAAATGAACACCACTAATATTTCCTGCAAACACACATCGATTTACATCTTTTATCTCGCCTCCAACGCAGAATTGTTTTCGTACAAGCTTACTCGTTCGTTTATAGGCATGCCATTGTCACGAATTTCGAAAGTTCGAAAATACGATTCGGATTGCAGCATACTATTTCTACGATTCGTAGCAAAATCCGAATACGAAAGAGTTGCAGAATAGGGGTGTCAATCTTCACAATACGAGTAACTGATTGAGTTTCACAAAAAACGCTCGAAACCAACGAACGATCGCGAAAGATCGAACGAACGACGCTTGCAGCAAAATCTTCTCTTTCGTTATCTTTACGAACATTGATATTGATAAGATATCGTAAATGCTTTTGTTCGCAGCACTAAATTTTTGGCCGCGATTGGTTGTGAGAAAGATCGTATTTTGATCCTTCTCCGCACCCTGCTAAAGCGACGAAATTCCCTTAAATGCCGAAATGTATTTGTCGACATTCGTGGAGACCTATTGATTCTGGTAAATGAGTCAACGAAGGTACAATCCTGGTGTCTCCTAATCAGAATTTGACGCAATATAATATTGGCAAATCGTATCCATGGACTCGGTTTAGTCGCTTGAGCGATTCATATTTTCTAATTGTACACTTACGGAACTTCTCATTTGACGGTGTAAATCGCGTTCCTGTCACAATCGTTCAGTAGCTGCGTGCCCTTTTCATTCTTCCTGAGTTCGAGCAGCACGAATCGGGACTGTGTTAGCCAATTTTTGATATTCTGATCGGCGGCATAATGTCTCCCGAACACTAAGGGCAGGTTTCCAGTGCACGGCTGTGGTTTAAACTCGAGCATGTCAAGACAAACACAGTTTACGTGATCTAAGTTTAAACTTTCACTGAAAAACTGGCCCTAAAAGTGCAACATCAAAGAATTCTCCTTACCGTATTAGAAGCAATCGAGCCATTACCGCGAAAGAAAAGTAAGCTCCAAATGTTTTTTATTGCGTATTTTTTATCAAAATTATATAATTTTTCCGCAAACAAATAAACAGCAAAGAATTTACAAGGCAAACAAATACAACAGAAAAACAGCTCAAAGTGGACCATCCATTCTCAAGTTTTATCCGGTCTGACGTACGCAACTTTGATATATATGTACTAGGAATGTTAATCCCGGGATCCCGGCCTTTTTTAGGTCCCGCAAAGCCTGGGATTCTTGGCAAATAATCCCGGGATTTTCGGGATTTGTAATTTGCTCTGATAGCAATAGTAAAAATTCCTTTTCTTGGCCAGTATTGGCTATATTTCTTTTTTTTTATTAATTAATATTTTTTTATAAATGTACAGCTCATTATACATAAATATAACACCGTGCGATAGTAAGTTTAACACACAAAAATCAATATATTCACGAAACCATGGTCCAAATGTAGTAAAGTTGCGTTATTAGTTTTTTACTCTGACGTCACTAATTCAAAAATTATTTAAAAAATTCAGTGAAATGTGCTTAGAGAAGAAGTATGGGTACGGTGACCATATTTATGGCAACCGATTATGAGACATAAAATAATGTTCCCAAATTTTCTCCACAAAACCTTTTCCAATGATCCTAGATTTATTAGCCCCGAGACAGTGTCTTTATTTGGCATACATTTTTCAAACTTTTGTGAGAGCAGAACATATACACATACATACATACTATGTAAATATTCAGTTGTAACATCCCTGCAGGGAAAGCTACCAGTTGTGAACCAGAATGCTACCAGTTTGCGTTTCAGCCCAACTAGTTCACGTTGTATCCTTTTTCAGTGTTAGCGACTGGTATTTTTAACATGGCGGTGTCATAGGAGATGTCAATTGTCCGCTCCTGCATCAGCACGCTACCAGTAGAAATACTAATAGCATCATACCAGTTGACGGGATAGACTGCCTATTCATCCCCCGTAAAATGCATAAGTATGTAATTTTGCTCCCGGCGCTGCAACAGTGGCAATGGTCGACAGAGTAAAGCTGTGGCACGCCAAATCAAGAGATCCGAGTTCGAATCTCAGTGAGCGAATCTTTTTTTTTTGTTTATTTATATCTCTTGTGCAATTTTTAAATTTATTGTTTTAAAAAGAACAAAAAATTATTTATTTTCATTTTTTTATGGTATTTGAGTTTTTAGGTTTTTTCCAAATCAAATTAAATTTATGTACAATTTTTATTTTATATTTAAATTGAAATAATTACTTAAATTAATTTACTTACTTTACTTTAACAACCTCCATGCGCACTCGAACCTGAGATCTCAGCACCAGAATCGGTAGTCTTCACTCGACGCCACAGCCGACATTTGTGATAAATGCAATTAACCACGTTTTAGTTATGGTTATGCCTATTCAAAGACAGATGTCGCTGATCGCATAAGTTGTTCGAAATCGCTGAAATGGTAGGCCGTCGCTTTAGCACATACTGGTTAATGAACTAGTATTTATACTGGCTGGTTTGGCATTTCACTGCGGAGAACTGGTATAATTATAGTCTATGACGAACTGGTATGACTCCCATTTAATACCAGTTTTCGAACTAGAATTTCTACCAACTAGTTTACTTTTTTCTGCGCGGAACTGGTATAATTATGGTTCATAACGAACTGGTATGACTTTTATCCTTAAATAATAGTTCATGAACTGGAATTTGTGCATACTGGTTTACCTTTTCACTGCAGGGATCACGCAATTGTATAATACTTTTCCATAACTTTTTACTCTGTAGTCGGGATTTTTGCCCCGCAAAATTTGTTACAAACATTCCTTGACAGGGAAACATGATGAAAATATTCGACTACTTTTGAAGTAGAAATTGTTTTCAACGGATTATCTTCAGACTCAGCTTTCGACCAAGCACAACGCAGTGCATAGCATCCGGACGGAGCTGAACTGCAAAGTGTACCTTTGAAGGGATCAACTTCCCTTCGAACTTCTCTACTTTTGCAAAATTCTCATGGAAGCCCTCTTATTTAGAGTTTCTCATATTGAAGATACGATCCTTCATAAATTTAACAATAATTTTTTCACCTAGTTTCGCGTAATGAGTTCTTCTCTCTCTCTCTGGAGATTGTCACACACTACAGCACAGTGGACAGATGGTAGCACAACAGCAAGCTGTGTGTATTTTGTTGTTGGTTTTAGAATCCATATACGTAAACAAAGTTTGAAATTTTAGAGTAAACTGTAAACAAAAATTACAATTTAAAGACGAATTTCTGGAAAAAATATTAAATCAAAAGGAAAAAAAAATGCTACTAGTGAAATTTCTTTTAAAAATTTTAACAATAATCATTATCGTCCAATTTCTATTCAAACTCACAAATGTCCAGTTTTTCTACGCAAAATTATAACTTCAGAAACCATCTCCACACATACATATGTGCTCCTATAGGATCTATAGATTTGAATCACAAGCATCCAGATTTAAGAATAAAAACTGGTTCATTGGCATGCCATTTGTATGAGATTTTAAGGCATCAAAATACCGAAGACGGGACAAATAAGGGACATCGAAAAAAATACAGAACATTTGGCGTCCCGTGTTTAATAAATAAATTAACAGGACAATGGACGAAAAAAGAGGACTGTCCCGTATAATACAGGACGGATGGTCACCGTAAGTATGGGTATCAAATTAAAGAGGAAATTCTGTAGAATTTAGACACATTCAATTTTTTTGTGCGTAAGGACGCAATATTTGCTTTTAAAAAAATAATATGTTAAGGAATTATATAAACTCGATAACTTCCTCGAATTTCGTCCTTCTAACTTTATCAGCTTAAAAAATTACATATTCGTCCTTGTGAATCCAAAAAAAAAATACTTTTTTTAAATTTTAAAGAAATTCCATCTTGCATTTGGTACCCATATTTTTATTCTACATTGCATTGAATTTTTAAAATAATTATTGGAATTAATCATATCGTTGCAAATACAAATCCTTTAAAATAAATCCTGACGTCAGAGAGAAAAAATAAAAACGTCACTTTAAATAAAATAGTAGTTTTCAAACCCATTTATTTATCATTTATTTTATGCTAGGAGAGCTTCTCAAGCAATATAGAAGCAATTTTTTCGATTTAAGCTGTTGAAAAGTAATGAACATCTAAATCCCAGGATTGTGATAACGATATCCCGAAAATCCCGGGATCGTAAAAAGCGAAAAAATTAACACCCCTTATATATACATACAAATATTTATTTTTAATAACAATCAAAGGATATATTCGATGAAAATAAGCTGGTTTCAATTAAATAATTAAAGCAAATTCTACCATGCACTATAATTTATGAACACCTTGTTGTGGAACTTCGCTACTTTTTGAAAGGTAATTGAATTCTTCCTCTTTTCCTCCTGCTTCCAAAAAACATCGCTGTGGGTGGGAGTGCCAAATTTTAGAAAACAGCTACTTATAATCTAATTGAATCATGAAATACAGCAACAATTTTCAAGGGTGTGTAATCTAAATGTGGGCAGGGTAGTATATACATATGTACTTGCGCCAGTTCGGTTATTTAATTAAAATTTATTATTTTCTAGGGTTCAACAAGCAGTTCATCTGCAAAAGACATTACAGCATGAATTAGAGAACTGGATGCGAAAAGAAAAAGAAGCAGAAGAAAAAATTAATGAAGACTCTAAAAAAGTGGAGAAATGGGCATCAAAAGAAATTTTACTTAATCAAAAACTGGACGAATGTGCTGAAAAAATTGCTAGCTTAGGTGCTCTACCACAGGTTGATGGAGTTTATAGTAAAATGTCATTAAAATCACTTTTTAAGGAGCTTGAAAAAGCGAATCAACATCTTAAAAAGTATAATCACGTAAACAAGAAAGCTTTGGATCAGTTTCTCAGTTTTTCTGAACAAAAAGAAAAGTTGTATAAACGAAAAGATGAATTAGATGTGGGAGATCAAAAGATTCGGGAACTAATGAAGACTCTTGAAATGCAAAAGGTTGAGGCCATACAATTTACTTTTAAGCAAGTTGCACAGAATTTCACCAAAGTATTTAAAAAACTTGTACCACAAGGTGCCGGCTATTTAATACTTAAAACAAAGGACAGTGAAGATGAGAAAGATGACAAAGAGGTGGCCAATTCTGACGCGTTTACTGGAATTGGTATTCGCGTATCCTTTACAGGAGTTGATGCAGAAATGCGAGAAATGAATCAGTTATCTGGAGGCCAAAAATCTTTGGTTGCGCTGGCATTGATTTTCGCAATTCAAAAATGTGATCCAGCGCCCTTTTATTTGTTCGATGAAATTGATCAGGTAAGCTACCAATGCTGATCGTTTAATTTATACTTATATTAGACATTACTCAGCAAACACAGTCTCTAACGTTAGAGCAATGGTTAGATTCTACATTAGCATCTAATGTAGTTCTCGAATCGAAAATCAGGTTAGAGAACTGTGCTAGAATTCGATTAGAGAATGATTAGAAAAGCACTAGACACCAGCAACTAACTAAAATTCAACGTTAGAATACGACTAGATATCTAACCTCTTTCTCAATATCTAGACCCAAGTTCCCTTTTTGTAGAGAATGCTATAGTTCTCGGCAGTTTCTGTAATCGTCTTCTAATCTTCTACCTTAGAGAAACACATTAGAATTCGACTCGCTTTCTAATCGTTCTCTAACCTAAATATTCGTTGGGTAGCTGATTTTTGGAAAAGTATCTAATATAGTACATATGGGTGTAGAAAATGACAAATTAAATCGCTATGATTGAGGTTCGATCAGTAATTAATTTATTCAAAAAAATTTCATTTACATTTATACTGAACTAATAATCTATTATGTATGTCCAAAAAATCACATTCTTATTTACTTATGCTTACAGATGTACGGCCAAATGCCCAAATGCACATATGTATATATGTACATAGTAGGGAGGTTGCGAATGTGGAATTTTAGACATCCGCGATGCGAATGTTCAGATTTACCAATTTTGAGTTATTGGGTTGACTTGATTAACCTTTGGATGTTCTATGTTATACCAAAACCCAGAATGTCATGCGTACACGGAAACCACATATTTCACAATGTCAATTACATGAATGCAGAGTTAAGTCTCGTAAAAAAAATACTTTCAAACTTGACCTCCCAAAATGTTCACCCTTACACATTCATTTTTCTGGCATGCGGGGGGCGATGTGTACTTGCCGATTTGTTTTACAAAAATTATTTAAAAAGCAGGCGTCTGCAATTATTTCACATTGATTCTCTAACACAAATTTTCGATGTGTGCTCAAGGTGCATAAACCTAAAGGTACATTTTATAAGACGTTAAACTGACCATTTATTAGAACTAGTAGTAACCCTCGAAATTTCTGTGAATGCAGTTAAGAAATAATTAATAATATTAAGAATTTAAATTTAAGTATATAATAAAACGTGATAATTATGAATAAACTTCAGTATTTAGCTCAAGATTTATTTAAAGAATTTCGTGACAACAATTAATCTTGTATTGCTAGAGACCTGATAACCCAGGATAATTTTTAAGTTCTTAAAGGACCCTACTCTACTCAAAGCTTCGTACAGTGTCTCGTGAGAAAACAATCATCTTTAAGGTATAGTCCAACCTTTCACAATATCTGTACAAGGGCTTTATTGGTCGAAATCTGAAACGCAATAATCACTTAAAATTGGCGCCGTTTCATGGTGAAATGTATCACACTTTTAACTAAAGCCTTTTTAACCCTTTCAGAACAAAAACTCAGCCACTGCAGTGATTCTAAAAATTTTAAAATATGTATTCCGGTATTTTTGGATCGTTCATTTCAACAAGTAATTTTTGGCAAAAAAAACGACATAAAAACACTATATATATATCTATATATGTTTCATGATCCAATGATCGGATCTAAACCAGATTAGTATGGGACCACCTCTGAGACACTACCTTTCCGATGCAAAGCGAATTATCGAAATCGTTTGACGTGGTCCAAAGTTATGCGGTAACATACATAAAAAAAAAAATATATTCCGACGAACTAATAACCTCCTCCTTTTTTGCAAGTCGGTTAAAAATCATATTAACAAATTTGTAAAGCTTTGATTTGAGCTTTGCCGTCATTCAGGGTCCTTTATAATGGTCAGTGATATCCTAGCTCAATTCTGTGGGTGCTACAAATCGCCGTAACTAAGTCGTATGACTGATCAATTATATATACAGTGAACCAAAAAAAAAGTTGTACATTGAAGGTACTCATCTTCAAAGTTGAATATCTCTGCCGTTAGTTAAGCTATTTAGGTTAAAGAAATAATAATTAAAACACAGACTTATACAATGCAACGAAACTCCCTTCTTCGAAACAAAAAAAAAACTTTTACACTAAATTCAAAGTGATCAACTGGTTAAAAAGTAAACTATTTAATACAAATTAGTATTAAGTTTAGCAACCTTCGGTATCTGGCATGGCTCTAAGCCTTCTATTATATATTAATAGTTTGGGGTATTTTCTCCCATATATCCTAAAGGCTACTTTTAAGGTCTCTTTTGCTCCTGATTTGACGCTCCCGTAATTGTGATTCCATGTAAACTCACAGATAGGGTGAATTCCAAAACGTCAAAATACAAAGCATCAGTCTCTTTTATTTCTAGACCTCAGTAGATTTTAATGCCAAATGTGCGCAACCACGGTTAGATGCTAGTTTTCTACTAGGTTGCGCAAGTTAGGCTTTTCCTTCTACACCATTTCCAGTTGAATTTTGGAAGGCGTCAATTGGATTTTAGAATAGTCAATTGTATTTTAGAAAGCGTAAATTGGATTTTAGAATAGTCAACTGGATTTTAGAAAGGGCCATATGGATTTTAGAATAGTCAACTGGATTTTAGAAACGATCAATTGGATTTTAGAATAGTCAACTGGATTTTAGAAAGAGTCAACTGGATTTGAGAATAGTCAATTGGATTTTTTAATGATTCATACACTATGCTATGCATATGATTATGTAGTTTCAAATATTGCTGAAGTATCAGTTATAACTACTTTTTATTAAGTTTTAACAATATAATATATATTAAAGTTAAACAACAGGTTACATTTAGGAATATACGATCTGTTTGAAGTATAAAAGAAAGCGGATAATGAAGACGTGAGCGGAATATAAAAATTATGTAGTAGAATAATGTATATAAAAAGAATATAGGTGCACAGGAGTGAAATGTAATGTAATAGTAAATGAGTAATGTAAATTGGAAGAACAAGACAATAGTATATGTAACAAAATTCCATGTTTTACATACTTGGAAGAAATAAAATGCCATTTAAAAAAATTTTATTCACCAGCTCTCATATCTCGTTTGGCAATTGCATCCGCATAGAAAGTAGTACTGTTCGCTTAAAAGTGAATATTTTAGAAAAATTTGCATAGACAAATACCGCACATAAGAAAAAACTGGCTATTTCAAAATTTTTGTAGAAAATTCTAAAATTCACTTTACATTTTCTAAAATCCAATTTACGTTTTCTAAAATCCAATTTACGTTTTCTTAAATCCAGCTAACTATTCTAAAATCCAATTTACGCTTTCTAAAATCCAGTTGACTATTCTAAAATCCAATTTACGCTTTCTAAAGTACAGTTGAGTATTCTAAAAGCCAATTTACGCTTTCTAAAATCCAGTTGACTATTCTAAAATCCAATTGACTCTTTCTAAATCCAATTGACTCTTTCTAAAATCCAACTGGAAATGGTGTAGTGTGGCTTAGAAATAAAAGAGACTGATGCTTTGTATTTTGACGTTTGTGAACGCACCCATACTCAACAGATTGGGTTGAGGTCAGGGTTCCGGGAAGGATGTGGAAACTACTTTTTTTTACATTGTACACGAGGCTTTCTCTTGTTATTAGCGACGAATGTTTTGCATCATTATCCTGTTCTAGGCAAAAATTGTAGTACATATATAATTTGGCAGCTGACTGTACTAAGTATTATTTTAAAAGTTTCAAGTAGTCCACTTTAGTCATGGTGCTTTCAACAAAAGTTAAATTTCCGACGCTGTTTGTGCCCATCGTTCCTCATACCATGACACTGGCACCGGCATGTTTTATCGTTTTGTTTAAATTACTGTTATTTAATGCCTCACCTTCTTTACGCAAAACAAATGGACACCCATCAGATCTAAGCAGATTAAATTGGGATTCATCCGTGAAAATAACCCGGATAAATTTTTTTTTTGTGATAAGCAGGGTTTGTTACGCGTTGTGTATGCTCGAATACCAACGAATGCAGATAATTTATGACAGTCTGTGGGTCGATAGCAACAATCTCAGGATCTTTAAGCACTTTTGGAATAGCTACTGCGGATTGTTTTAGATCTTCCTAGATATATGTAGCATTACATCTCTCTGCCTGTGATGTATATATTTCCTTTGGTCTGCCACTTCCTCCTGGTCTTTCCGAATTTTCTTGCTTTTCATATTTTGTTACTATGTATTGAACAGTAGTGGGCTTACATGGAATCAAAATTAAGCAAGCCTCAAATCAGGAGCAAGGGAAACATTAAAAGGGCCCTTTAGGGTATATGCGAGAATATACCCCAAGATATTATCCGGAACTTAGTTCACTCATTGAAAAGAAGGCTTAGAGCCATGCCAGATACCGAAGGATGCTGAACTTAATACTTATTTGTATTAAATAGTTAACTTTTTAACCAGTTAATCATTTTGAACTTAGTGTATAAGGTTTTTTTTTGGTTTTGAAGAAGGGAGTTTCTTTGCATTGTTTAAGTTTCAGAGCTAAGCGTAGTTATTTGATATAAATCTTTATTGCCGTATGAAATCGAAGTATCTGTGTTCGAAAAATGCATGTGAAAAAGTAAAGTCGAAATTTTTATGCTCTCACCCCCTTGGATTGTTCTATACCGAAAAAAATATACCCCTTTTTTTATTTTGAAATCAAAAAATATTTAAAGGTCGCTCAAAGCGCCCAATGTTTTCGTTGTATTTTATATGGGGAAAAAAAAGCTTTTCGTAGAAATGGTAAAGAATTCTTAAAAATAAATACACACTCCGTTTATCTGCAGAAGATTCCCAGTAATAATAACCAATTGTTTAATTTATTTTTTCATCGTAACAAAAATTTATAGGTCAGCCAAAAACCCCGAGAAATGCAAATGGGCGGCCAATAAAAAATCGTTAGTATTAAAAAATGGTTAAATAAATAATTGGGTATTATTATTGAAAGTCTCCTGAAGAGAACCAGAGTTTTCCGATCGAAAAATATTGATTTTTAAGACTTCTTACCATTTCTACGAAAAG